AATAAGAGCATGCTTTCTATTCTTGACCCTACCAGTTACAACCGCAACAGCTGAAAGAAGTTTTTCAAAATTAAAACTGATAAAAAATTACCTAAGGACTTCGATGGGGCACGAACGGCTTTCAGACTTGTCACTATTGTCTATAGAGGCAGAAATTTTAGAAAAACTGAAATCGTCAGCTATAGATGACTTAATAAATCAATTTGCCGAAAAAAGGCAAGAAAAGTGTATATTTAATTTCAATTGTTTGGCTAGCTCAATTTCTAGGAGGAAGCGATAACTCAATAAATATTTATTTTAATTTAATGCAAGCATTTTTGTTTCTTTTGTGAGAAATCTTTACCCTTCATTTGGGCCCCCCAACTAATTTTGATACAGAGCCCCTCCAAGGCACGCTACGCCACTGCCCCCCGCCTATCTAGGGTTTAAGGCGCCTATCTTTGGTTTTACGAGTATTGAACTCGTTTCCCTCCGCCTTTCTACGGTTTAAGACGCCTGTCTCCAGTTTTACGAGCATTGAACTCGTTTTCCTCCGCCTATCCAGAGTTTAGCTGTACTGAATTCGTTTTCCCCGGGAATCTGGGGATTAACTTCCCTGGTATTTTTTTTTATTATAGTATTTTCAAGTTCCAGGTATGATGTGATTAGTTTTCAACTTTATGCTGGAAAAAAATTCTACCCCATCTAAATATTCGTGTTCACAAAAATTTCGAAATACGTCGGTGAGAGAAGTTGAAAATTCTGCTCTAAATATTTAAATAATAATATTTTACAACCACCTAGACAGGCAACCAAAGAAAAACGAGAGTGGTTCTGAGTTGCTTATAGGTCTCTCTCGTCGACGTATTTCAAAATTTTTGTGAACACGAACGTTTAGATGGGTAGAAATTTTTTGGTTTGGAGCACATACCTCCAGAAATATACTGCTTTTCGACGACTTCGCATCTACACGGAGCATGCAATAAAAGGGGATAGACAAAATGGTCGCATTTTTTATGTACTCTCTTCGTCTTCCTCTGAACCTGAAGTAACCTGAAGTTTTGTTGTTTACGGAATTGCTTTTGAGGTTACTTACGCGATTTTACTTTTAAATAGAACAACAGTTTTTATGACAATTTAGTGTTATTGACTTGTTTTAAGGTTTTGTATTCTTAACACCTCCTTCAATGGTATCTCCTTTAAAAAAAACGTACTAATGAAAGCGGACATTTTTATTACACTTTGAAAAGACCTACAAGATGGGAGAGTCCTAAATTTAGTGCAACTGGTTAGATTTAGTCTGGAAGGGACTCTAGTGTAGATAGAAGGAGAAAAATTTTGAGAGTGGAACACAACTATTCATAAATAGGGATCATATGTGTTTTGCATATAAAATTTTTATATTATGAACCGTTATTGTTTACTTTATTATAAGAGAATTTTTGTTGTTTTATTGTAAGCCCCAAACTGCCAAAAGAAACTACGATAAGAAGTGATCATATTGAAGGAAGAAACTGTATAGAGCCAAACAAATTATAAAGATATTTAAAAAAAGTGTTATGCCTTTAAAGGACGTAGTAAAGCATTTAATTACAAAAAAGTGCTTTCAACAAGTGCTCTGGAGCATTTACAAACCACAGCTGCAAATGTGCCAGATTCAATTTTATCGAGAACGTCTGAAGAGTTTCTCATGGACAGCTTAAAATTTTACGAGTCATGATTATTTTGTGTACCTATTATTATCGATAATTTGTGTATCTATTAATTTATTTCGAGACATGTACTACAAAATACATATTATTTTATTCTTTCCTTTTTTATTACAAACACCAAATTTAATAAATATTAATTAAATACAAATTGTGTTGTCATGTTTTTTCGAAGAATTTACCCAATAAATAATGTACATAATATGCCATAAGCCATAACTTACAGATTGTCGTATTTTTTAATATTATTATGGTACCACGTACACAAGCTAATTTTATGGTATAAGAAACGATAATTATCTTCAAGAAACGCAAAATGTACCTACATGAAATAAATACTTAAAATAATGTAAACAAAGCATGGAGCTTCAGTTAATTGTTGGCTATTCATTTATTTTATTTCAACCAATGGCATCTCTTAGTGTCTTGCATCTTGCTGAACTTGTATTGTAGATTTTTTATATTCTTTGGATTTGTCATATTCTTTTATGTGGACCACTGAGTTTCACACAACACCGCTAGATGTCGGCAGAAAGAGAGAGAGAGAGAGAGAGAATTGACCGTCTCCAAACCAAACAATATAATTAAAACCAGTTGACTACCAAGAGGTGGTGTAGACTGTAGACAGGCTTGTGAAATCTATTACGTTTGTACTAGATCTACTAGATCTATTACTACTTAAGGTTTCCTATTACGCTAGTACTCCGCTCACAAAAGCTATTACGTTTTTTCGATTCCCCAAATTTTTATCTTATCCTTAATATACAAGTCTGTTGTTAATATTAATAGACTATGTCGTTTTCTGGAATGTATTTTTATACAATTACTTAAAGTAACCTCAACATGAGGTGATTACTGATTTGCCATTCAAGTGAAATGAAACATCACAGCTATGACATATTTTTGTCACAATTGGTAATATCGGTATTCGTCAAACATTATTTTTGTGACGTGTTGACTAAAAACTAAAAAGAGATTATTTCAATCACCGTTTGACGTTTATTTGCTTACCATCATAAGATGTGTCATAAAAAACTAAAAATCTTGAAATTGGTTGAAAATTCAAATATTCCATCATAATCTGTAGTTATTAAATAGTTAAATATGTAAAGGTTGGCTATATCAGAATATGTTAGCAATTTTTCCTAGGTTTACCTTGAATATTGCCAACCCAATAGCCACATTTTTTTAACGGTTCTTACAATTAGTTAATATTTGTTTTGTATAATAATTGTAGAAATGTTTCCTATGTAAGATACAGTATGTATTTTATTGAAAACGCCATTTTCCATATGGAAAATTGAGGACAAAAAGGATTTTTTAAATTGCGAGAGACCTATGCCTTAATTCTTTCAATATGGAAAAGGGGGAAGTCAAAATAGTCCAAGCATTCTGTCACGGATTAATGTTAAATTTGCAGAAATTATTACCTGGACAAAAAAAATATGACCGTATAGAAAATTAAATTTTAAATTGAGTTTCTAGTTCTTTAAACTCGATCCAATATGGCGAACATGGTTAAAAAAAATCGCAAAGTTGAAAAAAACGGTTTTTCTAAAATAACTAAAAAAATATAGCACGGATTGAAAAATTTTAAATGAGAAAGTTGTAGGTTTTAAAAAGATCTATCGACTGATTTTTTGAAAGTATCGATTGCTTTGTTACTTTTCGAGATATATCGAAAAAACCGTTAAAAATCTTCTCTTTTCTCTTCTTCTATAACTCGTTTACATTTACGTGCCCATATTTGCTATTTACTGCAAGCATAGCCCGCGGCAAGCCAAAAAAGTACATTTTTGAAAAATTTAAAAATATTAATTATTTTTCGAGATATATCGATTTTTTGAAAAAAAGGCGCTCTCGAAAATTGGCTAGATCTTCTCAGCGGATAGCCCTACAGTAACGATTTTCGGTTTATTTTCTTCGTAAAGAGTTATATTATCATGCTGTTAAAAAATGTTGACGATTTTATTAATTTTAAGGATCAAAAAATGACTGAAAATGTTGCACTTTTTTTGGGTATGTTTTTTTCAAATAACTATTTCAATTTTTATTATTTTTTTGTACTTAATCTGGGGTAGCTAAACACGAATATTATAGCATTTTCGCCTTAGTAGCAAAATAGACCCGTAAATGTTTAGTTTTCTTTCTTTAAAAGTCATTTTCATAAAATAAAAATTGAAATAGTTACATACCCAAAAAAGTGCAACTTTTTCAAAGTCATTTTTTGATCCTTAAAATTAATAAAATCGTCAACATTTTTTAACAGTATGATAATATAACTCTTTACGAAGAAAATAAACCGAAAATCGTTACTGTAGGGCTATCCGCTGAGAAGATCTGGCCAATTTTCGAGAGCGCCTTTTTTTCAAAAAATCGATATATCTCGAAAAATAATTAATATTTTTAAATTTTTCAAAAATGTACTTTTTTGGCTTGCCGCGGGCTATGCTTGCAGTAAATAGCAAATATGGGCACGTAAATGTAAACGAGTTATAGAAGAAGAGAAAAGAGAAGATTTTTAACGGTTTTTTCGATATATCTCGAAAAGTAACAAAGCAATCGATACTTTCAAAAAATCAGTCGATAGATCTTTTTAAAACCTACAACTTTCTCATTTAAAATTTTTCAATCCGTGCTATATTTTTTTAGTTATTTTAGAAAAACCGTTTTTTTCAACTTTGTGATTTTTTTTAACCATGTTCGCCATATTGGATCGAGTTTAAAGAACAAGAAACTCAATTTAAAATTTAATTTTCTATACGGTCATATTTTTTTTGTCCAGGTAATAATTTCTGTAAGCATTTCTCTATAATGCTTGGACTAAAAGACAATGTGTATGTTCGGAAGTTTCGGAATGAATGATATTCGGAGTATAAGTGGTTGTGTGGAAGTGTTTATTTAAAAAAACTTTTCTGAATGCCGTAATTAATTGTGGGTGTAGTCGGGCGTGTGGAATAAGGAGGGATTTAACAATTTTGGGAACGTCATGCGAGGCTGTCGTAACCACAAAGCTTCTTTGGAACATCCATGTACGGTGTGCGTTAATGTTCACAGAAGTCCACAAGCCGAACTAATATTTCTATTTTTTATAAAATCTAAATGAAAATCCTTCTCACGAACGTCAGCTTTTCGGAAATATTGCAAATGCAACTAAAAATTTCCAGATTCATTTAAAATCGTTTGATCTGCGGCGATTTTTTTTTAGTCAATTAATGAATATACTTCACCTACTCTAATGTCACGAGCCACCACTGTTATCTATATCTGTGGTAATACAGTAGATTGTGAACGTGAACTTGCTTGTGTACAGCTGAGAATTTTTGTGCATTATGATTCCGTTCGTACAGTCGACAATGGCGAAATTAATGATTTATGTTTATCTGGTCATATTAGTGTCTTGTGTTATCAGTGAGAATAGTGAGTTTTCTAAATTTTTCAATTTAACTGCACTTCTTAACATAGTTAGTTAGTCAATTTATAACTTGCTTGCTTTAGTCATTAAAATTAAATTTAAATCTATTGATTCTCATTAAAAAAATCTAACGAAACAGTTATTATTAGAAATACAAGTGAAAATAATCTAACTCATTTAAATTACTATTTACATAAAGAAACTTTTCAGTCTGTCTATAAAAATATTAATGATATTCATTAGATTTTTTTGCCCGATGGGGTCAGTAACCTATACAAAACATAAAACAGTCCTGGGTTACTAAGGATATTATTGAAATTAGTAAAAAATTAAGAAATTTATTTTGCTAAAAACTAATTTTCGAGATAATGACATTGAATTGTATTATAAAACACTTAAACGTGATTACAAAATAAAAATTTATAATACTAAAAAACAATTCTATGAAAATTTTATTGAAAGTAAAAACTCATTCCAAAAACAAAAATACATATGGAAACTAGTTGGGGGAAAAAATAAAAAAATAAAGAGAAACTAACCCACTGAAATACATATTGATAATAACATTGTAAATGAAGTTCATATTTGAACAAATGCTTTTGTAAATTATTTTAGTTCCGAAGCTAAGAATGTTGTACTGCGGCAATTTGGTAGTAAAATTTCCAACCATCGTACAGTAACAAACTTATGTATGTACAGGGTGAGTCAGATTTTTGTAGACAAACTTTAACAGGAGATAGAACACATGTTTTTAAAAAGAAAAGTTCCTATAAACATATGTCGTAGAAGACTTCGTTTCCGAAATACGGGGTGTTCGATATAATTTTTTTTCTCGAATATTCATTATAACTTATAAAGGAATGCTTAGATGTTTTTCATGTTTGGGAAATAATGCCTATTAATTAAGGGGCATAAAACAAGCGATAAAAATGTTCAAAAACTTGCACAGTGGCGGAGTGGAGGGGGTGCTCAACCCCTTTCTTAAACAGAACTTCTACGCCAATGACAAAAACATTATTAACACACAACGACATTAACAAAAATAATGTCCATTCTTCTGTCTCGAAATTCCTGTGTGTTTCCGAGTTATTTTGATTTTTAGTGTTTGTTGTGGTACTAAATTAAGTAATTTATTTATTATCAATTATTGGCTAAATATTTAATTCTTTCAACGAAACCTACCTAAATATGGTTTGTTAAGGATTTTAAAAAGCCGAAATCTCTTATTCTTTATCTCTTTCCAATGTAGTCAAAATAAATATCTGTTATATTAAGCTATACTCAATTACAAGACTTTTATAAATTGAAATCTGTTACATTACATACATACAATACATTATTGTGCAGTTGCCAAAAAGTTTTAAGAAGTTGTTAATTAAATATTGTTATAAATTCAAAAAATTTCTCCATAAACATTAACATCAATGTTCATTCAATGTTTTTTTTTTGTAATTTAGTTGCAGTACATTAGTATTTACGCAGCACATAATAAATAAGGATTGTTAAAATTAGTGTACTAATTTACCACATCAAACACTAAAAATCAAAATAACTCGGAAACGCAAAGGAATTTCGAAACAGAAGAAGGGACATTATTTTTGTTAAACTGTATGTAGATAATGAAAATAATTAAATAAATAATTTTTTTTAAAAATAGTCATTGGTGTAGAAGTTCTGTTTAAGAAAAGTGTTGAGAACCCTCTCCACTCCGCCACTGTGCAAGTTTTTGTACATTTTTATCGCTTGTTTTATGCCCCTTAATTTATCTCCCAAACACGAAAAAAATCTAAGCATTCGTTTATAAGTTATAATGAATATTCGAGAAAAAAAAATTATATTCAACACCCCGTATCTCGGAAACGAAGTCTTCTACGACATATGTTTATAGGAACTTTTCTTTTTAAAAACATGTGTTCTATCTCCTGTTAAAGTTTGTCTACAAAAAACTGACTCACACTGTATAATACATTTTACTATACAGGGTGTAACATAATTAGTGTGCAATACTTTAGCAGTAGATTCTACGATCAAATATAAGAATATTTTTCAAAATATTTCCAAAGCTAGTTAACGTATCATTATGAATTTTGGTATGTTGGACACTCAATGAATGTTCTAACGAGCTACACGAATGTCAATATTTTCAAATTTAAACATCAAACGTCAAAACGTTAAACGTCAAACAAAAAGTGTACTATTTATTATGTATATGAATTCACTATTCGATGTACGTACTTCTGGATCCATTAAGTTCTGCCGATGACACAGTGGTATTTTACTCAGCTTCTAACTGGAATAATCTAAAAAATAATGTTGAAAAAGATATCAAGAACATAAAGAATTATTTTGACAGTAAATATTTAACATTAAATCCAGCAAAAACAAAATACTTACCGTTTTATTTGCATGAAACCTCCGCTCCCCATTTTAATCAACTCGCTTGATGACAACTTGAAAATATTAGCTTTAAAAACATTAAATATTTAGGAATACTAATTGATTGTAAACTAAAGTGGGATAAACAGTAAATTATGTATCAAACAAATTAGGAAGCTACTGTATAGATTTACAAATTTAAGAGATATATTTGAAATTAAACAATTAAAAATACTGTATTATTCACTAGTCGAATCGCATATGAGATGTGGCATATTAAGTTGGTGGGGGGGGGGAGTATTGGATGCAACCGCAAGAAATTTAGAAAACTTGCAGAAAAAAGTTTTAAAAATTATACTTACGCACTTACCCTTCAAATGATTTTGATGTTTGCAAATATCAGAGTAATGGACATCAGAATGCTTTATTTTTTTCAATGTGTCCTCTATCAGTGGAAAAACAAAAAATGTGTGGAGCTCGAAAAAACAAGAAGAAATTTAAATAATGAAGTACGAACACCTATAAAATAAAACTACTTGTGGGCAAAATTGTTTTACTTACCTTGCAGTCAGAGCTTACAAATTCATTGCCTAACTGTATTAGATGTATTACATCTTTCAATAATATAAAATCAACAATATGTTTTAAATTTCATGCTATCGTCGTCAATTTTTGATAGTTTTGTATAAAAAAATAAAAAAAAAGATTGTTGATGTTTACGTTTTTCAGTGTGAAGTTTTGTAATTACATTAATAGAAAATTATGTTATGCTTGTGTGGAATATTAATAGTTAGAAATATTACGTAGACGTAAGTAGGTTAGGTATATATATATTTAATATTACTTGATTACTTGATTTTACTAGTAAGATACTTCTTACTGATTTTGATTTATTTGATTTTGGTCATGCACAGTGCATAGTGCACTTCTATGAAACTTTGTTTATTTATGTACACCGGCTCTTATTGTTTATATATGTGTGTGTACACGTGTATGTATGTATATATGTATGTATATGTGTATGTGTGTATGTATGTATATGTGTATATGTGTGTATGATATACGTATATATGTTATTGTTATCGCTGCTGAGTAAATAAACTATTCTATTCTATTTATTTACTTCGATAAAATGTTTTGTTTTCGAGAAAAATCGATTTTAAAGTTTTATTACATAATCTCCAGAATGGAAAAGGATTACATGAATAGGTAGGTAGGCCATGAAAACAAACGTTTGTTTACTTGAATTAATTTGACAGATTATTAAACTAAAATTTTTGCTTTCACTTTACGGTGCTGTATTGGATATTATAGACCGATCAAACTAACTCATTTAGAGGGGAAAAAAAAAGAAAATTGTTACCTGGACTTTTATAAGTGGAAATGGTAAATGGGCTTATAATCAGGGATGGGCGTTTACGCGTCGACTTTAATTGTCGACGTCTACGTGTAGACTTCGCGTAGACTATGTAAACAACGTAGACTATCTAGACAATGTAGACAAAGCGGAGTTTGCGCTCTAATTTCAATTTAATCTAACCTATATTATATTTGCGTTACATTTACGTTTGATCTATTTTGTGCTGTACTCAATTCATCACTCAACTTTTTCTGTTTGGCTGTTTTTACATAAACATAAAATGAGCGGAAGTAAAGCAAATTATATTTTTGGTCGGTTAAGATTAAGAAAGTGAAAACTTTCATTTTTGTATACTTAATATATTTTTTTATATTTTTTAAAACAAAAATTATAAAAAAATTATATAAATATATAAATTAAGAGTCAGTAAAAAACAGTTTATTTAATTTTAAAATTTTAGTCTCCATTCGTGACCTCATTAAGTGAAAACTAGGGAATATATATATAATACTCATATATGTTTAGAGGTACATATACCAATAAATACACATAATATTTAGTTAGAGAAAATGCAATAAAAAACATTATCTTGTGCCTCTGCAAATATTTACAGAAATATGTTACCATTTATCGTTTATTGAAAAGCTCAGCTCTATATGATCTGTATTAAAATCTTAGATCTTATATATTTACATAATATGATCTAGGATTGAAACAAAAATTATTTTGAAAGGGTACCTATATTATAAATTAGTAGAAATATTTAATAAAATGTTGTTCTATTAATTTCTGTAACTCTAACACCTTTAGAAAAAATAAACGTGTTCTAACTAAACTAAAATATCTACACAAAGTGTTCTTAAAACTTAATCAGATATTCCAAATTGTTGCTGACTTTAAAAATGATAAAATTTTCATTAAAGAATATATGCGACATATCTTTATTTAGATTTTATAGAAAAAAAAATGTTGGTCACTCTGACCTGACCTAAAACTATCGAGGAGCATCAAGCGAGACACACTTTTTTTTCTCGTGAATTCTCGGCAGATATTGTTTGATCTTTTGTACTGGGTTCATACATTTTTTTATAGATGGTTGTGATAGGTAGGTACTTTTCCAAATTCCAAATTTTCAATTTTTCTTTTTTTGCAAGAATCACGAGTTACAGCCTTACGAAATTCTATTTTTGAGGTACATACCAACCACACCTTTTTCTAGTTTTGAGAGTTTCTTAATTGTTGACATTGTCGACATTGTCTACATTGTCG